GTTTACATGGTATAAGCTCTAAGTAAAAAGTTTGAAGGAAGATCATATCTTTATTTTTTTAAGGGTAATCCCTGCATATTAAAACGACGGGGAGGTAGTTTATCAAAATTTTGGTAGGGTAATATTATTCTATTCAAGTTGATATTTTAATAAAATAGTGATCACGTCTTGATTTTTATTCATATTATCAAAACACGAGCAACATTTGATCTATGAACATATTTTTCAATAATGGTGTATTACGTAACAAGAGTTGTAGAAAGCATATTACGCACTAATGGAAAAAGTTGCGCACCAGCCGGAAAGCAGTGCTGTATTCCAGAGTGCGTAATTGCTTTATAATTTAAGTTGTGTACTAAACTTTTTCTATGATCACAATTAAAGAAAAATCTCTATATTTTATAGCGTTTTATTAACGAATATTAACATTTTTTAGATTAGATTTTGTAATTATTTGTAATACTTGTGTACTGCACTGTACGATTGCCAAATACAAGAGAATGGCCAGTAGTACTGCTCTGATGCTGCTTGTACTCAGACAATACGATGCAGTTAACATTATAATCTGAAATAATGAAATGATTATTTTATGATGTAGTGGGACTGTTTTTTAATGCACATGTGATCTTTGTTGAATTTACTGTTTTACTTTGCATTGAATTATTCACATGTCATTCAGTCACAGCTGTCACCATGTTTTTTTAATGTTCGTGGTAGATCGCCTGAAGCAAGTAAGAAAAAGAGTGGCATTTTTGTAGTACTTACCTTGTTCATGTTCTCTATTTAAAGCTCATTGATTATGTTTTATTTTCCATTACTAACAGCGGCTACATTTTTCTAAGAAATTTCACGAACTATGCAATCTCACAATGTACTACGTAAGGACCCGCATACATAATTAGCGGGTTGTGTGATATAAGCTATGGTGATCGTACAAAAACATTTATTTCATTAATTTCTGAGATTATATTATTTTAGAATCTTAGGGTGAATAAACACACAAAATTGAATCGATGTGGTATAAAAATAGTTTAACATTGGTAAAGCTTTAGAATCCTGAATTTACACTGCAATAGGCTCCATTCAGCGAAAAGCCAATTTCATGTTTTTTCGACGTTTCATAACGGCTAAAGTTTGAAAAATAAGTCTTTCGTTTACGTTTGCCTATCGCCTGCCGTTTGTAGTTTGTTGGCGATTTTATTATGCAGATAATCTACAAAACTACTGGACTGACTATCGTGAAATTTTATGTGTATACGTATCCGGAATATTGTGTAAACAGTAAAACGCTAACCGAAAGCTATTTTCTGATCATCCTTCCAACAATTTTATAACGTTAACTCAAAATCGCGAGCACCCGTAATATTTCGTTTTTGAAAGAGTTTGACAGAATCTTGGTGACTCCCACAGCCTTTTAACTTCCCGAGCGTTGGCTAAGGAAGTATAGTAATCGAGTCCATTTGACGAATTGCCACTTTCACATTTACTCGACGTTTAGTGACCCCTAGAGTACGAAAAAAGTAATCTCTCGTTTCTGTCTGTCTGGTGTCTAAATCCATTTTTACTAAACACGTAATCTTCGAAACTACTGGACCGATTGTTGCCAAATTTTGTACGTATGTTAGGAATATCATGTAGATGGTAAAACACTAACCAAAATTTTTCTAATCATCCCTACCAACAACGTGATGACAACCCCTCAAAGTTTTTCATAAGAAGTTGGGTTTAAATTTTATAAAATGTCATACTCTTGTACTCTTGTACCTTTTATGAATTCAAAAAAATCGAAATTATACCGCAAAATTTATACTACCTAGTCTAAGTGGGTTGCTTGGAAGGTTGGTGCGTAGCCCATCACGCTGAGTGTTTGGTTTCAAATATGTAACACGAAAATCGTTTACGGTTCGAATATAGGATTTTTTGTTTTTTTATGTTATTACTGCCATCATCTATTATTTTTTTATTGATCAGATCTCAAAAACGGTACATTCCATGTTTTATTATTAATATTATACTGCATATCGGAATAGACAAACGTGTCCTGAATAATGTTATGCCTTATAATAATAATAGGCCCAATTGTGTATCTAAATGCGTTAAAATTTAAAGGTTGTAAAAAATAACCAGCCAATCAGATTTATGAATTTAACTCGTTACCGTGGAAATTTTCAATTTAACACCCTTTAAAGTTAATAAGTCTATACAGAAATCCACCTATAGACTCCACGTTTATTAACGCATTCATATTTTGGAGGAATTGTTAACCCGTTTCCTCTCTTGGTCATTCCAGACGAAATATACACAAGTGTGTTTGCATAACATTACGTGCTCGAATGCGAAATGGCCGCGTATGAGTAATTAAAGTGCCTATAATACATTAATGAATTCAGAAAAACAAGCTGTACAAAAATCTGAAAAATGTATAGAGTATCATTTGAAAATGTTGAGGATCTTAGACAAAAAAAAAAGTTATAGAATGTCAAAACACATTTATAGGATGTCATTGGTTTTTTTTTATTATATTTGTTTTAATGTATAGAGATTATCCTAAATAAATGACCGGAAAATATTTTTTTTTATTTTAATGTAACGGGATTTGTTGGGCTGTATTTCAGCTGCGAGGAAAGCCCTATCGAAATAACCTTCGACCAATTCTTTTGAGAATGTGAAAGAATTCTGGGGACTCTTTTGAAAGAGTTTACCAAGATATTGTGGGATCCTGATGTTTTGTTTTAGAAAGAATTTGAAACTGAATAGATTTTTTTTAAAGAAAAGATGAGTCTTGGAGGCTCCTGGTGTTTTGTCTTTAAAACAGTTCTCTTGCCCCCTCCCCCCCCCTAGAATTTTTTAACGAATATGAAAGAATCTACTATTTTATTGCAGCAAATTTTTTTAAGAAGCTGGAAGGCTTGTGGTATGTAATTTTTTAAAATTTCAAAGAAGTGTCTTTTCATGTAAGAACATGAAAGAATGTAGCATGCTCGTTGAATTTCGTTTTTGAAAAAGTTTTTTGAAACAATTTGGACTTGAGTCAATTTTTTTCAAGAATGTGAAAAATGTTCGGAGCCCTCTGTATGCTTTTTTACTTCCCGAGCGTAAACTAAGGAAGTATTGTAATAAGGTTCATCCGACGACCAGCTAGTTTCATGCTTTCTCGACGTTTTATGCTTTCTCGACGTTTCATGTCATGACCCCTGGAGGACGAAAAAATAGATCTCGTGTTTCCGTCTGTCTGTTTGTGGCCTGTGTCTCAGTCAATTATTATTAGACAGATTGTATTCGAAACTACCGGACCGATTGTTGGTTAATTTTATATGAATTTTATTTGTATGTTAGGAACATATATGGGGTGCGGTACGGTACTGTTCAAAGTACCAGCGTAGAGATCTTACCCGGAGTCATACCTTAAATGGGTGACCAACTAGGCTTCGTTCGCCCATCTGCTTGTACGGCTCGGGGTGTCACTCCCTTCAACGCTGAAGGGCAAACTGAGTACGGGTTATGTATGTATGTTACGAATATTGTGTAGATGGTAAAACGCTAATGAAAATGTGGCCAACAATTTAATGATGTAAAATAACCTACCCCTAACCTCGTGGGTCATGAATCCACCTTGATTTTCACCCTAGGCATTTCGATTTTCGTAAAAAAAAATCCAAATTGTATCGTCGTATTTTATACCAGCATAACACTGACGTGTGGTGAACTCCATGGCCGTACCGTAAAAATGTTGAACTGCTAACCCAAAAGTCGCTGGTACGATTAATTAATGCTTCACACTTTTTTTATTGATCAAGTCGAGAAAAAATCTTTTCTCGAAAATTTGATAAATCAGTAACGTTGCGCTCACCTATATTTAATAATAATATAATAAAGATTATCGCAATAACAGTTACTTACCCAAAATAATATTCAAAACATTTTGCTCCATTGTAGCTTAATGAAAAATTTTGTTGCATTCTTTCGACGTATAAACATAAACAATTGCAGTTTTTGCCCGTCGATTATCCACTTTAAAGATGGTTGACATTGTCAGTGCCTGTGTGGACTAGCGCCTTCAGGACTCAGGGGCTGCGGGGGTGTTATTTACGCCACTGGGAAGCATGTTTCTTAACCTGTACACATAGGTACATGTCTTTATTTTATCTTGGAGGGAATAACATTCGCAAAATTACTTTTTTTATTTTTCAAGGAAGCTGTATTTGCACCTCAGGGGCGAGGAAAGTTCGGTCCAATTTTTCGGTTGTCCGATCGATCATTGAAACATCATCATGATACGTTCGCTGGTTCTAAGAAACTGTGACTGGAAACGCAACCAAAACTTCCTTTTACCATATTCTCTCATTCCCTGCCTTCGAGATTGATATTGCACTTCGAGACTACTTGAGGCTGAAGACGAGATTGTGTAAACTTCAGTCGAGATCAGGAGAGACGAGATCGAAGTGCTATGCGTGGTGTAAAATTTTAGTATTTTGAATTAAGTATAAAATTTAAGAATTCTGCATCATTATGTGTGTTTTATCATAATCATCATAAGCGGGTATGGTAGACGTCTGAATAATTAAGAAATGAAAATGTCGTCCGTTTTAATGAAAGCCAAAATAATGGTTCGGTTAATTGCAAAACTATGAATGCTTCCCATATTAAATTCCGAAAATTTAATATCTAAATAAGACAATCTAGGATTTATTGTCGGCAGAACAGAAGTGCAGTTCGGCCGTAACGCCGCTCATAAACAACAATGCACGCGAATATAACAAATAGAACACAGTATCATATCATAAACGGCTAATATAACCGGCATGGCATTCGCCAAATTGCAACAAAACTACTTGGCAATACCTGCCATCAAAACTCACTTCCCGGAGTTATTACGGCATAAAACACGGCTCTAAACTGCACTCCGCACATGCATTTCCCCCACCGCCCAAGTCGTAAACGATGTACCCTTTGCCCCCTCCAGGCCTCCGATGCAACTCACTTCACTTGCAAGACTGACAGTTCGCGACAAGGTTGCACCACGTGGAAACGCATTGCCCGCGCGAGGAACCTGTTGCGCCGCGAGTGCCCATGGAGTAGCATGTCTTCGGACGACTCGAAGATGGACGTGAACGCGTCGAGCACGTCGGCCTCGCCCCGCACGCCGCCCAACTGCGCCCGCTGCCGCAACCACCGCATGAAGATCGCCCTCAAGGGCCACAAGCGGTACTGCAAGTACCGCACGTGCAAGTGCGAGAAGTGCCGCCTGACGAGCGAGCGCCAGCGCGTCATGGCCATGCAGACGGCCCTCCGCCGGGCCCAAGCACAGGACGAGGCGATGATGCGCAGCGGTTCCGTCGACCCGCACGTGCTCCAGGTGCCCCAGAAGAGCCCCTCCCCCGTCCACCCGGTGGACTGCGACTCCTCGGCCTCGTCGCAGTGCTCCAACCCGCCGCCGCTCGCCCGGAAGATGACACCGGTGCCGGCGGTGCCCTCCAGCACTTCGGTCAATGTGGGCACGATCGGTGAGTCGTCCTGCTTTTTCACAAAACCGCCAATTCACCTTTAACATTTATTTCGGGTGGCGGTTTACGGAACTTCCGGTTGTGATTTTTTTGTACTGAGCTTTTTCGTACCTGAAATTACTCGCACTTTGATTGGACTTAAAACACCAAGAAATGTAATAATAATTACCAACATACTAGTTAAAATTTATTTACGTTTTTATTGCTCTTAATTAAGGGTGATGTAATTTCTACTAATAGGCAAATTCAACGTAAACTTCGATTCCCAATAACTTTCCTTTATAGAATGCGATTCATCCGTAATTTTTTACAGCGTTTTGTGTATATTCACAAAAAACAATTATATTATTAACCATCGAGTGGACGGGTGGGTGGTTCATTATACAAGATTCCGGTATCAAGGGCGGCTTTGAAATTTCAAAAAATCGGCGGGCTTTACAACTGTGTTCCGAGCTTTTTGCAGACGATACACAATCAGTCGACCGTATTAAATAATTAATTGATCACATAATTGAAGTAGATTAAAACAAATTTTATTTGCGAAAGATGCTGAAAATATTTTGCCATTTTATTGTAAATTAATATCACTGGCCACCGTTCTATATACGCCCATGGGAAGGGAGGCGACGCCCCCTCCCATCCCCCGGGAGTTTTGCATCAATTTCTTAATAAAATTGGAGAACGAATCAATGCGTATACGTCATTAATGACGACGTTCCTTTGCCAATCATTAATTAATCAGCAATGCCGGGCAAAAATCAGCTTTTGCAGCTGATATTAAGTTTTTTTTGTGACATTACGTTGGCGCTAATGATAATAAAATTTATGTAACCATGTTTTGGTTTGTGCGTTTGTCAGTTAGCTGTCATTGTTAATTTTTAAAACATAGAGAGTTTCCGATTGTGATATCTCATTATTAACAGACTTCTTACTGTTACGAAATTTTAAATAAAACCTGTCCATAATTTGTGCTATATAATACAAGAGTAGTTTTTTATTTTTGGTTAAACAATTTGTCATCATCTTTTTTTCGCATTGTCATGACATTTTTTATTATTAATTTTTAAAAATCGATCTTAATTATTTGTGAAATTTCAGAACGCGTTTTCATGACTGTTTTCAGCTTACAGAACTCTAGACCCTACCCAAAAGACGTAGTTGACAGTGGAATCAGATTTTCTCGAAAAAATTGCTCTTATTGTATCTCATTTCCGACAAAGACAGTCGATAATGTTTCATGGATAGAATTCTGTAAGCTAAGTAAGTAATTTTTTAAAATACCTACGTCTTGAAAAATTTGACGGATATTTAAAAAAATGATGAAGGTAAACTGTTTCTTTTTTTTAAATTGCCATTGTGTTATATAGAGAGATTTGTGGATAAGTTATGTTTAAGATTTCATAACAATAATAAGTCTGTTAACAATCGAGAGTTACGTTCTGAAAATGTATGTTGATTAATTTTATAACTTGGAACTTTCTGTATACACTTATATATTTATGACAGTAAGAATTTATATCATTTTACTGTGAACACGACTGGACAAAAAAATTTAATCTTCTGAAAAATACAGTTTTTTGGCGGCAGAAATTGAGTATTGATATCAGTCTCTTAGCCAGAACGAGAATAAATTTATCTTCTTCAAGAGTTCACACTTTTCTGTAACCCTTGTGATTTAAAGAAATACACGGTAAATATTGGTTCGAAGTTTAACAAGAGGTTGACAATTAATTAATTAATTCAGTAGAAAGTCAAATGAAGCGGTACAGTAATAAACGAATTTCTTAGTCCACTAGATGTACATCATTTATTAACACTCTATATATATCCAGGTATAGAGTATATTACAAAAATTTATGGGTGCCCCCAGACCCCAGAAAGTTTTCTATGGGCGCCCATGGTTTGTGTAGTAGGTATATGTATATTTAGGAAAATTGTAAAAATTTAACAGACAACTCATAGCATTAGTGAACAAACTTTTTGCTGCAGCTTCGTTTTGTTGGAAATAACCAAGCTTCATCGTCTAACTGATTCAGGAACTTTTACAACATTTCCTTTCTGTACCTTGTTTCAGTAGTGTTATTAAAAAATCAGCGGCCAATTACACTCCTGCGTGATCTAGCCAACTATACTCTCAACTTTCCGAGGGTGGAACTAGTTCAGTAAATTCTGAGGGGCAACTTCTACACTTTGGAGTTAACTCTACAAGTGAAGTTAGGCTTCATCAATGAAATTGTCATGTCTGACAATGGGTTATCATTACCAAGGTTATTTTAAAACTAATTGCCAGTACGCCACTAGAGCTGGGTGATCAATAGGCAGCAGTTGATGCGAATGGTAATTTTGTCGGAATATAGGTGGAAATTCTTTTTAACAATATTTTGACATGTCCTTTTGAGACACTTTTGACTACCGACATAAATTTGTCGGAGAGCTTCTAGGATTTTCTTCAACCAGTTGATCTGCTACTGAAGGGTTTTCTATTGGTTAAAGATTTTCAGTTTGTGTAAATTTGCTGACCACATCGTGAATATGGGCTATGAGGGCATTTTCTTGATCTTTATTCAGTTTTATGTTTATAATAACTATGAAAATTTAAAGCTACTTCATTACAATTATGCAGAGTACCACTATGAAGTTGACGGCCCCATTTCTTAATTTTCGTTAAATTGGGAAAATTACGCACTTGGCATGTAAACGTTGTGGTTTTCAGTGCTGTTCAGTAGGACATTTATGTGAAGTGTATCTAATTCTAATCGTACTAATTTCATGGTCCATCAAAATCCGTTACAAACACTATACTTTGCAACTATAAAGAAATATAAGCTTGCTCACGATACCGACACCATATATGCGTCATATTTGCAGTGTTCTAAATTAACCTTCCCCCGTCAAGCTAAGAACAATATATTTACAGAATTTGAGTATTTGTCTTTGTTCCGAAGATTTAAGTCCTACCTAGGATTGTTGCGGATGATAAAAGCAGTGTTCTGTAGGGTAAATGTGTACAAGAGTGCGCATATGTATAAGAGTACGCACTGATGATTTCTGCTTATTAGTGCCATCTGGGTAAGATGAAGTTATACCATTCAGAATTTAATGTTAAACCTGAGATAAAGGTGCAAAAGTGACCTGAATATAGTTTATAGTTTGGTCATACTGACGATTTTATGTCCACACGTTGTGTGGATGTAATTTTTACCACTCATAGTTTTAGTTTTTTGTAAGGTACGTACCAGTTCTTTTATTTTACAGTAATAATTTTCATTAGTTGTAACTTTTAAGGTGTCGTTATACACTAACAGTTTTACACTTTCTGTCCATCAAAAGCTTTTAACTTTGAAAACATTTGGTTATGTACAAATGTACAAGAGTGCGCAGCGAGGTATTGTGTAAGAGTGCGCATTGCTTGCAATACGTAGTCTAATAGTCTTGGAGATACATATCATACGATAATGAATTATTTAACTCTACTACTTTGTACTGCTTCTCAAGTTGTGTGGTGGTGGTTATGGTGATTTTTTTTTTATTTTTACTTCCTGAGCGTGTTGTAATCGAGTCCGGCGACCGACTCTCTATTTTTACGTTTTCTCGTCTTTTCAAGACCCCTAGAGTACAAAGAAATAGGTCTCCCGTTTTATGTGTCGTCTGTAGTCACTTATTCCCATTTATTTTCACCTTAGAAACAAATATTTTTTTATAAAATGTAATGCGTACTCATAAGCGTTCAAATGCGCACTCTTGTGCAATGAACTGTCTAAGAGTGCGCATTTACACATCTTGACAAAAATTGAAATTACTCTTAAAATATAGTGGTGTTGGGGCGTACAATTAAATATATCTGATCTCTAAACATGTATATAAAGAACCTATATCATAAAATTTGTCTATCCAAAAAAATTAAAAAGTTGTTGACAGTTTTACACTAAGTGCGTACTCTTGTACACATTTACCCTATATGTCTTTGGATGTTCCGGATGTACAAGTGTAGCGATGGTTACTGGTTGGACACCTAATTTGTTAACCTTAATTACCTGGCAAGTAGACTTTCCGTTTTGATAATTTGAAAAAAGGAACCTAAAATCATTTATGGGTCCTCGCGTACTTTTTTCCAGAAACAAAGAGTGAAAGACCTTTTAGTTTTGTTTTTCTTGTAAGGGATTTTATTGTGAAGTATGTCATGTCCCATCTTTTACGTGTGTACTGGCATAGCTTTCAATTTATTATTGCTACATGCACCAGGAACAGCAATAATAATCAGTGCAACCTAAGAATGGCATTGATAATAATGATTATTACATTGGTGTGGATCAAATTGCCTTTGAGAACAAGTATTTTTTATCTGTATCTGGTGCTTGCTCAATAAAACGTTTTATTTATTCAGAAGTACACGTTGGCGATTTTTTTGCTTGATACTGACTGAGAGTAACCCGCTCATAATAATGAATGATTTGGCTAAAAAATATTAAAAATCAACGAGTAGTTTTCAGAAAACGAGGTGATGTTTTTTATTTTTCAATTTTTCAATTTTTTGTAATTACATCTTATTTTTGCACTGATTGTACCATTTACTTTGAGCAGATCTCAGGCGATGTATTGCAGTAAACTTTTCGTCTTTATCAGACATCGTAAAACCTTGTCCGACGCGAATGTTATTAGTATTAAGAATAAAAGTAGGCCTGCTTACTTACTTTCCGTTACTCTTCTTCATTCCCCTTGGAACATGGAAAAACTAGGTGTAATACTAACCGACAAATTGTTGAAAAACAAACTCTCTAAAAATTTGCTTTTAATAAAAATGTTCAAGACACTGTACAGATTTTAATAATTTTGTTTAATGGTAATCGAGTCTATCGGACGACTTCCCAGTTTCATGTTTTCTCGACGTTTCATGACCACTAGAGTACGGAAAAAGTGGATTCTCGTCATCTCAGTGAATTCTATTTTAAAATGATTTAAATGTTATACAACAAAATACTGTATTCACTTTCAGTTTTTTC